CCTTTGTCCCCTTCCCCTTTGCAAAAGAGCTGTAGTGGGGCCTGGGTTTTAGCTCAGCGGTTTCACCACCTGCTGCGCAAGCACAAGGACCTGAGTTTGATCCCCGGTACCAAACAAACAAACAAACAAACAAACAAAAAAGATCTATAGTATCTCCCTACTTCCCATTACTTTTTGTTTTGATCTTTATTTATATTTTGAGTTTCTCATATCTGAGAAATCATGCATTATTTAAACTTGTAAGTTTGATTTATCTTTACTTAATATCATGGTGTCAAAGTGCATCCATTTTCCTACAAATGACTCAAGTTTATCATTCTTTACGGTTCTTTATTGTGCATAAATACCACATTTTCTTTATCCATTCATCTGTTGATGGACATATAGGCTGCTTCCAAGATTTAGCTATTACAAATCCTGCTTCTATAAACATGGGTACGCATGTATCACTGCAATATGATGTTGTTAACACTGTGGGAAGATACCCAGAAGAGGAATAGCTGGACCAGATGGAAATTCTAGCTTTGGGTTTTAGGGGGAATCTCCAAACTGATTTCCATAATTGCTGTATTAGTTTACATTCCCACCAACAATGCAGAAATGTTCTCCCCCTCACCTCACTGACTTGCCACTGATGATTGCCATTCTTTCTGGTGTCAGATGAAATCTCAGTATTGTTTTAATTGCATTTCTCTAAAGGCCAGAGTTATTGAATATTTTTTCATGTATTTATTGGCTATCTGTACTTCTGAGAAGTGGTTAAGTAATTTCAGTTGCTTATTTTTTGATTAAGTCTTTAATTTGGGGGATTCTACTTTTTTGAGTTCTTTGTATATTCTAGATATTAGTCTTTTGTCTGATGAGTACCTGGCAAAATCTTTTTTCCCATTCTTGTAGGTTGTTTCTTCACTCTTTTGGTTGTTTCCTTTGCTGTGCAGATGCCTTTTAATTTGATGTGACTCCATTTGTTGATTTTTGATGCTATTTCTTGTTCCACTGGAATTCTACTTAGAAAGTCCTTCTCTATGCCTATGTCTTCAAGATTTGTACCTATTGTATCTTCCAGCAGATTAAGTGTGTCTATTTTAACATTTAGATCTTTGATCCATTTTGATTTTAGTTTAGTACATAGTCAGATATAGGAGTCTAGATTCAATCTTCCGCATGTGGATAACTAGGCTGAGTCATGTACTGGAGAAATAAAAATGCTATAAAAGGCATTTTAGGTCCAATTGAAAAAGTTGTAATATAGATTTAGATTAAATTAAAATTGCATTTCAATGTTAATATTATATAATATCAGTTACCCACTGAATTAGGTCACTATGCTGAGATTATATAAAAGAATATCTTCTTAGGAAATGCACGCTGAATTACTTAAAGGTAAAAAGGCATGAAGTACTCAATTTTCATATGACTCAGGAAAAAACATTTTATAGAATATATATTGTATGTCATATAATATAAAATGTATATATATGTAGATAGGTAGGTAGAGATGAAATTATATGTGCAAATGGTAAACAAATACTATAAATATTGCCAGTAGGTATAGTTGAGCAAGGAATGTCAGTGTACTTTGTACTATTGATATTCTCACTAATTTTTGATAATTTTGAAAATATTTACAAATTAAAAACCTAGAGAGATGAGAGGAGACAGGAAGAGTCTGTACATCAGTGACTGTTAATTCAAAATCTGGCCATTTGCTAGCTACCTGATCTTCATCGAGTTTGTGTATTCCCTCTGTGTCTCTTTTTCCTTAACTAGAAAATTAAAATAGTAGTACTTGCCTCCTAGAGTTTTTGGAGAAAGGAGATAATGAAAATGTTTGTTATTATTGTCTTGGATGTCTTTTCACTGAAAAGATGCCCTGGACTCGGGAGATAATGTGGGAAGTAGAGTGAGACTTCGTGTTTGAACACAAACCGGGGCACCGAGCTAGGTGTTCAGGCCAAGATTTCAGCTGAAGGTGCATAAGTTTCCTCCAGAAGAGGAATGTTCCTGTCTTTCACATCTCACATTCAAAGGCTGGGACTAGAGCAGAAGTAATGGTAAAGAATGAGCATGCAAAAATACTCACTTTGAAATGAGAACTACTGGTGACCCAGGTGACCCATCCAGTCGATTTTGGAGGTTCTGAACCCTGGAGCTTTGGCTAGAAAATACATTTAGGGGACAGAATATTTCTCAATAGCAAAAGCAGCAGTGAAAAATAAAAGGTGATGTGAGGAAGTAGGACAGGTATAAATAAACCTAGTACAAGTTCTCCAGCAACAGAGGTTTCCTGGTGAAAAAGTCTGTGAGTTAACTGGATACTTACACGACAGCATCAGGCAAGAGGAGATGAAGTGTGTGGGGGACGCCGAAGGCCGATTCTATGCTGCCCACGTTGGTTTCCTAATTTGGGTAGTTTCTCTCACAAGCTCCTTATTTGAAGACAGCTTGGGCAGTGTTATGATTAGAAACATAATCCATTCCACATGTGCCCGGAGTTTCAGAGGCCCGAGTGCAGAGGTTTTACGGATAACTGCCAAGGTAGTGCTTGGAAAGCCACCACGCTCTGACCCTGGACAAGTCACAGTTTTCCTGGTCACTCTTGAGTAATGACTTAGTGGGGACCAGAGCAGGGGCTGCTCTTACTTCATGGTAGGACTGTGGAAGAGGAATTAGAAAAGAGAAGCTTTGGGTTGTGACTGAGGGAGATACAGGGTACAGGGAAGTAGGAAGAAATAGGAGCAGTGAGGGGGGTTTTTTGTTTCCTTTATCGTCCTCCTTGATCCTTTGCTTTATCCCTGAAATTTGCAGTCGGTGTGTTGCTTAACAGACCAGCCTGATCTTACCCTGCCACAGCAGTGTGGTGAGGAAGCGGGTCCAGCCTACAATTAAAATTTCCCAGTCTGGCCACTTACTAGCTGGGGACTTGGGAGGAATTAACCTCTCTGAATTTCAGTTTCACAGCTGCTAACTAGGGTGATTCTTTTTAAGGTTGTGAGGATGAAGATAGGTAATCTTCAGTGCTAGGACTAGGTCTGGCTAGGAACTGACCAGTGGGTAGTTGTTAGCATCATTATCCTTAGTGCCTGAGCAGAAGTCTGGCTTGCCCTTCCTAACAATGTCCTCTGGCCAGCACCTGGATTCTGTCACAGCCCTGTAATTATTAGTCAATTCTGGGAGGCCCAGCACATGGATAATGTATTACCCCCTTTCTTTGAGACCCTAACAGTCCTAATGCTAAAAACTTGCCTGCCCTTTAGCTTTCTGGAATAGCAAATCATGCTTAATCTGCTCATTCATTCCTAACATAACTGATATTTACATTTTGATGATATGTCCCTGCTTAAATTGTTATCTCGCTAAACATACTCACACCTGACTTACTCTCCCTTCTAGCCTTCTTGCTTCTTGAAGTCAAATCACTTCTGAGCAGATAACAAACTCAGAGCTGTTTGATAATATTATGTAAATAAATTGTTTACTTTCAAAGAAAAACACATCTTCCATGGTAGCTGTTTTCATGTTTTCCAGTTGAGCCTTAAGCCTTAATGATTTGAACAAGTTAGTTTCCATCTTCTTCTTATCCTGTATGATAATAGGAAGCATGGAGAGTTCTTGTGTGATTGGAAGTGTGATTTATTTTCCCGCTTATCAACCAGTAGTCAGAAACATAGCAATGAGAGAACTTGATTTAGAGTCAGAGATCTCAATTTGAGTCTTGGCTTTACCACTTACTAGTTCTACAATCTTAGTCAAGTAAATTCACCTCTCTCAGCCTCACTTTTATCTGGAAAATGGAGATAAAACCCCTTGCACGCGGTACTGTTAACAATTAGAAATGGTAGTACAGAGGGTGTCATGGTAAACTGATGTGCATGCCAGCATTAGCTTAATTTATTGCATTTATTGATTTTCCACAGTGCAACTGAGGACTTTCAAAAAGTGGTAGGAAATATGATTTTTGTCTTCAGTCTATGTAAATATTTAAATTAGACACAGGGCATTTCTTATTTAGTCCCACCCTCTCCTGATGACTGTGGCATAAACATTTATGGTTTTCTATTAAGTTAATAAGAGAGCAGTATTTGTCTCTTTGAAAGGACACATGAGCCAAAAGCTAGGAGAACATTTTGTGCTCCAGGGAGAAAATGTGTCAGGGACAGCTGAGATAGTTCTCTTATTGTTCGCTTTATCCACCTGGATCATTTTTGTGCTGATACAGTAACATCATCACCACCAAAACTGGAAAAAAATGAATTATTGATAGCTCTGCATACACACGCTGGGTTCCAGGAAAGGTTTTTGAATAGCAAGGACTTGAGCTGAACTCTCCAAAGAAACAATCAAAGGTGGTTGGAACACAAAGGAAAGGAGACCTGTGGGGATCAGTTTCTAACTGCATTGTGGCCAAATGAATAATTCAAGAATATTGTTTTAGGTTAGATATCCTTTCCAGCAACTTTAAAAAAGTCTCTTTCTACCATGGTGGGATCATATAACTATTCAATATCATGTCAAGGTTTCTGTCTTTACTGTAATTCTGTATAAAGCAGCAAAGTAAATATGTGTTTCATGTGGATTTCGGTATAGTCATTAGATCAAATTGTTTATTACAGTCTCAACTGCTAAACACTGGAGAAGTGTTTTTGGATTCAAAACATATAATATTTTATTAAACTAATTTCCCGTCTTGGTTTTAGGCATCAGGATAAAGGATAAGGTTAGGAAAATAAGATTCTACGTGATACAGCCACTCACCAGACACTCTACAGATATTTAGTCCACTACACACTTCCTAATGTCAAGCATTTTATTTTCGTAGCCAATTATGCCATCAATGCCATCTTATGGCATTGTTTAGAAAGCTTTATTAAACTTATTTGGAATGTGATTTGTCTAAAAAGGACTTTTAGGCAACTTAAAAAAAGATATTCATACTAGATTAATAAACTAAGTATGTGTAAGATAGTAGAGGAAATTTTACTCATCAGGATTTCTCTTAGGGAGAACTGTGTCTAGAGTATATTGACAAGCTGCCCCACATGGAAAAAGAAGTCCCAAAGGCTTGGTTAAATAACCAAAGCTGATCCCTAAACTGCCATGCACATGCCAGGAAGAGAAATTTGTGTTGCTGCTTTTGAGATGGGAGGAAGGTGAGGCAAGAAACAGGAATTGATCACACAGGTGAGTTGAATTCCTAAATAATATAGGTTGCTCTGGTTGAGCTTTCCCTGTGACTCTACCATCCTCTAGCAATATGCAGTAATATAAATTTACCCAAATGATTGTTATTGTGGGTTTCTGGTGGTAACCAGTGATGGAAATGATTTTGTGTTGCCAGAGGGAGAAAAAGAGGATGCTGAGCTAGAGAAGTTTAAAGCTTCAACTGATATCTGGGTGACAGAGATATAGAAATTGAAAATGAAGCTTAAAAAACTTGTAGGAAATCAATTCACCAATAATTACAATTGTTAATGGCAGCCCACGATTTACTTATAAATATAGCTTGGAGTTCCTTAACACCATCACATAAAGGAAACATTTTCAATTATGTTATTTCTTGTTTTCAGAAAGGAAGATGGATGACATTCTCAACAGATTTTTAAAAATCCAACCTTAATTCTGCAAGGAGTTTCTCACACAAGCCTTTTCACAAAAGACCCCAAGTGACATAAGAAAAAAGTGCCTTCAAGACACCGGCATAGGAAAAAACTTTATGAACAAATCCTCAGTAGCACAGGAACTAGCACAAAGAATCAACAATTAGAATTTCATCTTATTAAAAAGCTTCTACACTGCAAAAGAAACCACCAACAGAGCTAAGAGACAACCTACAATGTGGGAAAAAATTTTTACCACCTGTTCCTCAGACAAAGGTCTACTATCTAGAATATATAGAGAACGGAAAAAAAAGGCCCCCCAAATATAAAGACCCAATTCAAAAATGGGCATCTGAAATGAACAGACATTTCTCAGACAAAGAAGTAAAAGCAGCAAATAAACATATGAAAAAATGTTCAACATCACTGGTCATGTGAGAGATGCAGATGAAAACAACACTGAGATTCCACCTCACCCCAGAAAGAATGGCTGCTATCAAGAAATCAACCAATAACAAATGCTGGCAGGGCTGTGGGGAAAAAGGAACCCTTCTCCATTGTTGGTGGGAGTGCAAACTGATGCAACCACTGTGGAAATCAATATGGAGATACCTCAAACAACTAGGATTGGAAGTCCCATTTGACCCAGATATTCCTCTGCTGGGTATCTTCCTAAAATAATTAAAAGAATCATACCACAGTGATACATGCTCACCCATGTTTATAGCAGCACAGTTTGTAATAGCCAAAGCTTGGAAACAGCCCAATTGCCCATCAACTGGAGAGTGGTTAAAGAAGATGCGGTTTTAAAAAAATAAAATGGAGTACTACTCAGCCATAAAGAAAGAGAAATGAGATATTTATGGCTAAGTGGATGCACATTGAGGCTATACTCTTAAGTGAAATAAATAGGACACACATGTGTAAATACCAAATAGTTTCTCTGGTGTAAAAAATTAAAAGTGTAAATAAGGATCAAAATGTATAATTGATATTGTGAAATAGGAAGAAACAATCCAAAGGAGTAGGGGAAGTGGGAAGGGTGGGGGAAAGAAAAGAAGGGAAAAGAAAAAAATACGAGAAAAGGAAACAAAGTCTTTGTAAATAGGGAAAGGTGGAGGGGGTGAAGGGAGGGCAGGGGAATGGGAAAAAATAAGAACCAAGATACATCATGTAAAGGTACAAGATCCCAATGATGAATGTAACTGTACTGTATACCTAAATGGACCAATAAACTTAATGAAAAAAAAAAAAGAAAAAGAAAAATGTGCCTTCAAAAGCACTTTTTCAGTCAAAGTCTAAGCAGATTCTATGTGAGTGATCCTTGAACTGCACTTGATTAAAGTCCAGATCATGGAAGGCAGAGCACAAGCCAGTGAAAGGTATTCTGAACTCATCTGGTCCATGTACGATACTGTCTGTTTGAACATATGTGGCTGGTGTTCCATCAGTCCATCCCAGTTGATCAGTCTAAGTCACTCAAGGTAATCCCATCCCTCTTGCCAATGACTCACTCAGGAAGGAGTCTGTGACCTAATTCTGGCCTCTGCAAAGTGAAGGGAGAAAACCCACTGCCTTCCTGTAGGAAATACAGGAAGAGGGCATCTCTCTCTTTTCGAGAGATACTGTGATCATGGATAGGATGCCATGGAATGAAGCCAGCATTGGCAATGACAGAGTGGGTATGTAGAAAAAACTCTGTCCGGGCTACTAACTCAGCTATGGAGACATTCTAATCCTATTCAAACCAATATATTTCCTTATTTGCAAAGTCAATTTGAGTTGAGAACTATTTTACCTGCAGTCAAAAGCGTCTTGAGTGGGGCACTTTTTTTTTGTACTGGGGCTCGAGCTCAGGACCTTTGGCTTTTGAGGCAAGCATGGTGCTACTGAGCTAAATCCCCAGCCCGAGTGATGAAATTTTTAATAACCTATCTTCATCTAAATGATAAAACAGTGACAACTATTATATGGAAACAAAAAAAAGTTAATGGGTGAGGTCGGGACCCAACCTTTGGCTTGTCTCACCAATCAGCCTAATCTTTCACCATTCTCCACTTCCTGCTATATTGTTGTTCTTTAGGAATGCCAAATTAGTTTTCTCTTTCCTGCAGACTGTCCTTTCCCCCAAACAGCTGTTTCAGTGTCTTAAGTGAGTGTGCCCGTGTGTGTACCTCCCTCTGACCCTATGCAGCAGCCTGCCAACATCTGCTCAGCCTTCCCTCTTTCAAGTTCATTCAGATACCACTTCCTCAGAGATATGGTGGGATGACTCCTTTGATACATACCTCCAACCCCTGCCTATTTAAAGTAACTGTAGTAGGGGGGTTCTAAAGGAATGCCAGTGATACCTATTTTTGTGCATTCCCTCTCCTTTGCTGTGAACTAAACCTGGGACTCACAAGAATGGACAATAGCAAAGTTGATGCCCATTTCCAACATACATCACTTCCAAGATTATCCTAGAAAAATTATGGCTCTTATCTCCAGGACCCTTTCTCACTCGCTAACTCGCTCTGATCATCAATGACCAGAGGACCCTCGAATGTTTGTAGAGACACTCATGTGGTGAGGAACTGAAGCCCGGAACAACCATGCCAGTGAGCTGGGAAACACATGTTTTTCAGATCTACAAAGAGACACTCAACTGAGCTTGGAAACTAGATGACCCCTGCTGCCCAGCTGAAATGCTAGATGAAATCATGGCTCTAACTGAAAGCTTGGCTGCAACCTTGTGAAAGATCATGACCCAGAGGCACCCAGCTAAGTCACACCTGGATTCTCAATCCAAAGAAACTGACATAAAAATGCTTGTATTTTGAGTCACTAAGTCTTGAGGTCATTTGTTCCTCAGTATAGGTAACAAATTAGGTATCTCTTCTCTGAGTTCCCACAGAAGTCTAAAGTTTCCTCATTATATCACCATCACTCCATGTTGTAATTAACTGGTTGTCTGCCTTGTGATGCTGTAAATTCTATGATAATAGGGACTTTGTTCATCCTGTGCACTTTGATATCTTTAGAAAATGACATCATTCTTATACATATGCTTACTCTCTCTGAATAAAGATAGAAGTTTGGGACTTGTAAGAATGTGGTTCAGACTTTACCATGGAAATAGAATATTGGATAAAGGAGATGAGGATCATAATGGTAATGAAATTAACACCAAATATTAAAATAATTATTAACCTGAGAATTATGCAAACAGATTGGGCACCATCCAAGTTGATATTAACAGATAGAATATCATTTTGAATACGAGACCCTGGCAATTGGCACTTATGTTATGATAACACCATCAATGAGGAGATGGGGCACCCACAGGTGTAAGAGCACTGGCCAGGGAAGCCAGGAATCAGAATTCTCAGCTCTGCCTTTGTCCTGGGAGCTCTGGACCCGGTGGGAGTGCCTGCCTGCCTGACCTTTGTTCAACTCAGTTTCTCAATGGTAGGGTGAAAGGAGGCATTGCATGTTCTTGAAGACTTCTTTAGCTCTAATAGTCTACTTTACATACAACTCCATTCTTTCTATAAACACTCACTTCAAGCTATTTCAGAGCAGAAGTCCCCAGTCTTTTGTTTTCCACCCCATCCTATTTAAAAGAATACACATGAGTGATTTTCAGCCTGCAGGGAGGAAGAGGATACATTATGTGACAGGCCTATTAGAATTTCTGGGTAACATGTGCAGTGTATAAAATTTCCTAGATGGCTCTGACCTGTTTGATATCCACCCACTTTTGGAAATCTCTGAGGTAATGCAAACTTTCAGGCCAGTAAATAAAGGTAAACAGACCAGAAATCCTGCTATCTGATAAAATAGCTGAAGTAGAACTACACTCTATATTCCGTAGAAGCTTAAAAAGTAGCTAAAAATAATCTACACAGAAAAATTTAACAAGGAACTTACACCACGTGTAGAATTATGGTCAGAATATGGATCTTAGAAACTCTACCACAATGTGTCTTGTTTTCCCAGGGAATGGGGTGTTTTATACATACAATCTTCTGAAACTGGTTATCTGTCATGTTTTGACAATCATTTAGAAGGCAACACTTCAAGGCACTTACGGTATCACCAGGAGATTTCTATGCCTACAAGAGGCTCTTGTCAATATCCCTGAGTAGAAAATACTCATACTGCTTTAATTAGGTTATAGTAGAATCTTCTGAGATATAATAACAGTATTACCAATAATAATGATAATAGCCAGCATTTGTTCAATTCTTTCATTTTTCGAAATACTCTCCATCTGTCATTGTGTTAGTCTCACGGTGCACTTGTGAGGTAAGCGGTACAAGTGTTCTGAAAGTAATGTGTTCCCTGCACATTCACTCTAATTTAATGTACGCATTAACCGGAGCCTGCTGCGGGTCTGGGGACTAATGATGATGCAGTGCTGAACAAGACATGGTTGCTGCTCTTGGGGACTCTGAATCTAGGAGCAGCAGATGGAAGCAGATAATTACAGTGTTGTCAGGCCTTTGCTTTCTTTCCCTGTGTGACCTGTGACTCCACCCCTAACCTGGCCTGTACCTAGTTCCAAGGGTAGAATCATTCAGTCCTTCTACTCATACACATCCCATAAGTGAAAATAATTGCTTTTATTTATTTTTGAGCTTTGTATCTTCTCCAAACAGGCCACAAATCCAGAAACACAGGAGTTTCGTGGCTCACTGTTTAATTCTTCTTAACATTGTTGCTTCTTATTGGTACTGATGATCCTTTCACCAGTAAGAGGGTCCCTCTTGGAAGTGGCTTTTACATTTAGAAGCTCAATAAATGAGGTGTGAAAAGTTTTAATCTTCAAAGAAAGCCTGGAACTGGAATATACCAGCTTATGAGAGCCAAATGCACACATCTCTTTCCAATTTAATGTTCAGTGATGTCAGGTAGGTGGCTTTCGATTGTCCGTAGTGAAAGTATTTTCACTTAGGAAACGGGCCAACTCTACAAATCAGAACCTTTCTCCTTCCACAGAGCTGCTTGCTAAACATTTACCAGCGTAATGCTGCCTGTAGCTGCCTTCACCTGGGACTTGATTAAGTTGATGGATTTACTAAACTATTCTGCATATGATATGCATAACAACCTCTTAATTTGGGCTTGAATGTAATTATACAGACTGTATTCATTTTTTTCCTCCCCCTCCTACATGGGCTAAAACTCCCTTAATTTAGCATGTAAATTCATGTGAAACAGCAAACAATTCAGGTTTTATGTCGAGAATTTTCGAACGTTAATAAC